AAAACTGTGTTCTTATTTGCTTTTAATTTTTTTTCCTTAGCTCACTCTCTCAGGTGTTTTTTTTAATCCTTTGCAGATCTCAGTTCACCTGCCATTAACCTTTGTAATGATTCTGCTGTTGTTGCCAATTCTGAGCTGGAGACCGCATTTATCAATGGCATTTACTAAACCTCTATTGTTTCTTTGATGAGGCATTTGCTAGTCTGTGAACTATAGCCCATAGGTATATAATATCAGTTACTAGTGGTGACTGAGTGTGGTGTTTTTGTTTAGGAACATTGTTGCCCTTTTAGTATAGAGTAAGATAGGCTGGTGGACCTCACGATCAGTTTATATATTTTTCAGACTTGTAAGGTTCTTTTCTCCCTTGGAAGTCCATCAACCATTATAGCCATCCTTACTGTTAGATGACATAATGAGGCTTGTTTGTGAGATTTTGATGTCAGAGAAAGGCATCCCAGAATAAATAAATCCTGCTACAATCAAAGACACCTGTTCCTTAAAGTTTTCTAGGTCAAATATACATGAAAAATAACTGCCAGATGTTTAGGCAAACTGGATGTGGCTTAGACCAGGCCCGAAGAAAACTTACCACTTACTTCTAAGACCAGATCTTACCACCAGTCAGTTGTGTGACAAGAAAATTATTAGATTATGCAGGAGCAATGCCTGAATGAGCTTGTGCTTTTACTTCCTGGGCTCACAAAGGAAGAAGTTTACAGAAACATGTGCATCTCCCTTTAGAGCACAGCAATCCTGCCTGTTGGCAAGAGTGGCACAGTCTGTGTCCTAGAATTGTGGAGAAGCAAGGGAGTGGAGCTGTGAGGTTCTTCTTCTAACCCCATCCATAAGAAGCAGCCCCGTCATTTTCCAGCACATTATAATTTGTACCTTCATGTGCATTATCCTTTTAATAGTCACCCTTGAGTTGTAATATCATCATCATCATTTTACTGATGAGGAAAGGATGGATCAGAGAGGTTGTATGACTTGCCCAAGAATTACCCAGTTGTCAATAGTCCTCCAAGTGCAAGCGTCCTCTGTTACGTCATGACTGTTCAGTACTATAGCAGACATAGATTGCTTCTGTGAATCTGATTTTATTTTCCTTTCAATAAAATATTATAACAATATAGTTGTAAAAGTCATTTATAATTACCAAAGGGGAGCTTGGCATTCTGTGTAAGAAAGAGAGTGGAAGTTTTGTCATTTTTTTAATATTTCCATTATATGTTCCTTGGGGATATTCAGTAAGACACATGAAAACTCTATACAATTATTAAATATAGTTTCTAAAGCCTGATGCTTACCATTTCTAAAATTTATGTCCTCTCAAATTCTATTAACCCTTCAAAGACTGCATGGAGTTTCAGCCATCCTGAGTCAGGCTTTGGGAAACTGTGATAAATCATTCAACATTTACATGTGACAAAACCAAGCCAATAAACAAATGTGCCATGCCCACAGAGAACATGGAATCACTGATTTAGTCAGTATGGTTTGGACAACTTTGGATGAAAATACCTTCTGAGTTTGAATTAACCTCCAGAACACTTGCTTTGGGAGGATAGAGAGTACATTTCAGACATTCTTTATGGTCCGTTTTGAAATACCTTTTATTATTTAACTGCTGTATTTTACCACTTCAAATATGTGTTCTGTCACTGGCAATATATGGTACAATAAACTTAAAATGAAAAGTCTGAGTGGAACAATGTAAGAAATAAAAGACTCTTTTAAAAAAGCATTCAGACTTTAATAATCTGGGATTTTTTCCCTTAAATGTCTTTGTTTTCCTAGGATAAGCGATTTTAGCATGGGAAGGACTTAACTAATGAAGATGTATTACAGATTTTTAGAGTTTATTTGAAAAATTGCTTGATTCTTTTAATCTTCTCTTCAGAATTTTAGCTGCATCAGACCTGTATTATATTTCTTCTTAAGTAGTAGTAAACTAATTTCTCAAAGTTTCTTTTTTAAAAAATTTAAATTATAACTTATTTTTAAATCCTATTAAAATTAATTTTTCAAAAAAATTAATTTTTATTAATTTTTTATTTTTAAAAATTAATTTTTATCCTAAGTGCTTATTTATATATACTGGCTTTTTTATTCTATTTTTCTGTTGACCAGTTGTGAGTATTGTTTTTCTGTTTATTAAATCATAAAAAGCTGTCATTTTGTAGTAAAAGTACAAAGTACAAGTAATGGTTTTTCTTTTTTTTATTTTTAAGACTTCAAATATTTGGTTAGTTTAATTGCCCTTATCTTAAATTTTTAAATGTTTCTTCTTTACTAAAGAGTCTTTTGTTAAAAATAAAAGTTAGTTAAAAAAGTTAGTAAAAGACTGGCTAATTAAAAAAGTTTACTTTTCTGTAAAAATATTATTTATAGTATTAAACTAATTTTTTGTGGGGGGTCTAGGAGTGGCCATGTGTCCTTTAACTGAAGAATTCTAATTTAATTGTAATGTCTTCAAGAGATTTTTACAAAACTCATATGAGCTGAAATTTCCGTTTTGACAGGAACAGTGGCTTTTCAATGCTGGCTTTACAGGTAGTCTCTGAAGCTTTGTGTGTTAGTCTAGATGTAAGATTATGGAGTAAGACTGTCATTTTATTCTGAGATTCTTTTACTTATTTTATTACTGTAATGATAATTACACTTTTTCTTTTTAAATAAAATATAGAAATAATTGAAAATGGAAGATTCACATTTCTCAGTGCTGGGACAGCCTTTGGTCTGCCTTTTCTTCTTCCTTTTATTTCTTGGTTTCTAGAGTGCTGGTTGCTTAGGTTAGTCTTCTAGAAGATGGGCTTGAGTTACCCAGTAATTTCTAGTTGTAATGTGGTGTTGCTATGGAAGCCTGCTTATCTTTATTGGATCTTGCTAACAAACCATGCTTTTTATGTTGTAAATTTTAGAGACTGGTAAAATCAGATGCAGATTTTCCATGAGGGTAATGAATCTAAACTTTCATAGGCCCTCACTTGAGCAGATGTCCTTCAAGGCCCTGTACCTAATTTAGTTTTATAATTTTGTATTTTTTTCCTTAAACAGAGCTCTGTAGATTGTATAAGCCTTTGGATCTGCCTCTGGCCAATATGTGAACTCTGAAAACAGGAAGAAAACCGATAACAAAGATATACATTTGACCTTTCAAAATCTTATTTAAGACATCTAGCAGTGCCCTATTTTCTTTCCTGGTGGAAGAAATGGTTTGGATCATTAAACTAAGCAGTAGAACTATGTATCTAAAACTATACATAGCTGCATAAATAATGATTTTCAAACCATCAAGAATGGAGTTTTAGAGACATATAGTGCTTGAGTGAGTTCTGTTATATAGATAATCAGATTTTTGCTGAGGTTCTGTTAGAAAAATAGAGAATGTCAAACACTAGAAAGCTTTTGTGGAGTATAGACATTCGCTCCTTAATCCATGTTTTGATTTATATGTTTTTCTAGCTGTGGTAATAGATGCCAGCTTTAGTTTCCTCCCATTAGCCACACTTGTATTGACCGTAAGAAAATCCTCTGAAATGATAAGAATGCCAATGCATTATATGTATAATATGCAAGTCTTTTATGGTTGTTTTAGAAGCATAAAAAAGCCCATGCAAGCTGAAACCATGTGATGTAATCTTAATACTCCATGGGAAAAATTATAATTGTTTTGTCACCTTTAAAATTGTCAAAGCATTGACAACTCTCTTACTGTTGGTTATAAATGCAAGAAGATTAAAGTTATAATTAATATTTAGTACAGTGTGACTTAGAACATTAGAAACATTGAGAATTAAAGTCTTTTTTTCTTTGTAAAAAACATCACAAGTCATTGGAGCAATACGTGGCTTCTCGTAATATAACTTATGATATACAGAGAGCATCTTTGCTATCTCTTAGCAAATTTTCATACTCCTTTCTAAGTTTGAATGAACTTCAAGTATTTTACCTTTCCACTCTCACTATTGTAAACTGTCTAGTAGAACTCCTTTAATGGGAAGTAGTTTTTACTGGTGTCACTTCCTCTGGGAAACCTTTGTCCTTTCTGTCACAGTCACTTTGCTCATTTATGTTGATGAGTTCACCTTTACAAAGTCCCTCTGGCTGAATATCTAGAGTTTCTCAAGTGACAGCAATGTCCACTTTTCCACGGTCATCTGTATCTTTTGTAACTACATTTATGTTCAATTTGAATTTCCCTTTCAGCATCGTCACTTTTTATATCTTTGGTGAACTTTAATCTTTGTTGGCTATTTCCTGCTTTTAATGATTCACTTTTGTAAAATGTCATGTGGGTTTATCCACTGAGAGACGAGGCAATATGAATGCACACTTTGCTGTCTATGCATGAACAAAATAACAGGTTTGAAAGAAGCGATTGGTCCCTGGTCATGGCATGCATCTATTATTTACTAGTGACTTGTAGACTGAAGAGCTAGCAGCAAAGTTTGTATGTTGCGCAGTTAGTCACAGTTAAAAGACTGTGGTCACTGTAATTTGAACTGTGTTGTTACAAAACTGGTGGTATTTAACTAATCCATGGTGATTGAAATTTGTGCATAAACAAACATAACAGCATAAAGCAAGAATTGCCTCTCTTTTTCTCTCTCTGATCTCTAAAGCTAGCTTTTAAAAAGAAGTTTAACAATCACAATTAAAATAGGAATTATAGCTGGGCTCTATAGTCCTAGCTACTTAAGAGGCTGAAGTGGGAGGGTTGCTTGAGGCCAGGAGTTCAAGGTTACAGTGAGCTATGTTTCTGCCACTGCACTGTGGCCTTGGTGACAGAGCGAGACCCCATCTCTAAACAAAGCAGAACAAACCCCTCCAAAACAAAAACAAAAACAATGAAAACAGTTTTAGTTAGTTGTGTGGGAGCAGCATTGTATTTTATAACCACATTTGACTACTTAATCAAAGACAAATGTATGATTTTTATGTAGTATGTAAAGAACAACACAAAACTGATATGGATTGTTTTTTTCCCCCACCAGTTTTATGTATGGTGAATTGACTGACAAGAAGACCATTGAGAAAGTCAGGCAGACTTTTGACAACTACGAGTCAAACTGCTTTGAAGTTCTTCTGTACAAGAAAAACAGTAGGTATCTAAATTACCACTAAGATATGCCAGCTTTTTATTAATGCTATATTTTGGTAAGTGGCAGTTGAGCTAAAATGTAGTGAGAACGTAAAATTTTTATCGTTCCTTCTCTTGGCAGGGGCAGAGGTTACTGGTGAAATTAGACAATAAAATTAATAAATGATTCTACTTATGAAAAGCAACCTTTTGAGGCAGGGGGCCAGGTCACTGTCCTCAGACCATTGGGGGGCCATTGGAGAGTGCGGCACACATTCCACGCATGTGCACTGTGGGCCCGGGTCGGGTCGGCTGCTAAGTAGGACAGGCAGTGGCAGCAAACACACCCGGTGGGCCGGATAAATGTCCTTGGTGGGCTGCATGTTGTCCGCGGGCTGTAGTTTGAGGACCCCTGTTACATAGAAGAAAAATATGGTGTATTTTAAATGTGACCTTTTTGTATCAGGCAGCAAATTATTTTGTGATCAATACTCTTGGTAAATACTCCCTACAGTTATGTGTCAACAACTAAAAATGACAGAGAAATTCATTAACTTTTTGTGGTTAAAGGAAAATGTAATTGGTCACACTGGGCATGTGCAGTTACCTTTCCACAAAAACATAGGTAACAGGTGAATACGAGGTAGCTACATGAGGTGAATCCTTACCAATATGTAATACGGCCTTTTGCCAGACTCAGACTTTGGTGTGGAAGGCTACTGGAAGTAGTTTTTACTTTCAGAACAGGCTATTCTCATTTAGAGAATTTGTATTGATTGTTGTGAGCTGTTCTGCAGGATGAGATTTGTGTGTGGTAAACTGTTCATTTATATAATCACACACACAGTACTTCATGATACAGACTTTGCATCAGAGTTTGGAGAAAAAGCAAACAAAAAACCAGCAAGTACACTCGGCAGCTAAGTCGCTTTTCTTTTCTTTTCTTTTTTTTTTAATTAATTAATTTATTTTTCCCCAAATTCTGTGGGTAAAAATATTGTTAGGGTTACATATCTTGCCCCTGCCCCCCTCCCCACCCCGCTCTGCCAGAGCTTCAAGCGTGTCCAGTCTTCAAGTGGCGCGCCCTGCACCCACCATGAAAGTGCTAAGTCGCCTTTCTAATTCACTTTCTTTGCACGGTTACCTACTTTTATCTCTTTTTACTCCTTTTCCAAATTGTCTTTTCTTTCTTTTTTGAACAGTCACTTCATAAGGTGGGTCAACTTATTTAGTGTTAATGGCAAATGGTAGCAAAGTCCACTGTTATCTTCAATGGCAATTGATGGTTACTAAATTCTTCCAAGTTTGGGAAACTTTTTAGCATCAGCAGGAAACATTTGTTCTATGTTCAGTGCCTGTTGGATTTGTGGAGCGTAATATATCCTCTCCATTTTCCTCATGCATTTGTTATCTATGGAATATTTGGAATTAAAATTAAATTTCTATTTTTATTAATAGATTAACAAAGTGATAGCTTTGTTTTGAGCGACAAAGGCATTGCTTCGGAGTAGTGTGCATGATAATGGGAACATTTGTCTTTAGTAGTTTTACGTAAGGAATGTCTTATCATCTTACCTTTCATTTTAGTATCAAGGCCAAAGAGATATTTCTGTTTGAAGTCATAGCTAAATGTCAATTGGCTTGTCACTAAGAAAACAATCCAATCTCTGTCCTCTACAAGAGAAAAGGCAGGCTGTAGATGCTTTCTGGGTCTTTTTGACCAGGTCCAAATACATATTGATAATTGGTAGGAGACCCACATACCAATGACTCCTTCATTTTCAAATAGATTTGCTATTGTTTGAATGACTTAGCTATGTGCTCCGAGTTTAGCAAATAATGTAAGAATATTCCTTATTACTCATAGTACTAAGGTCATTCATTCTGACATTTAAGCAGAATAAACAAACCTGTGCTTGCTTTTATTTTATTTTATTTTTTATTTCAGCATATTATGGGGGTGCAAATTTTAATGTTATGTTTAATGCCCTTGTCCCGCCTCCCCAAGTCTGAGCTTCAAGCGTGACCATCCGCCAGACGGTGCACATCTCACTCATTATATATGTATATGCCTGTTCCTTCCTCCCCCCTCCCACCTGCCCAATACCCAATAAATGTAATTCCTGTGTGTCCACTTAAGTGCTGCTCAGTTAATACCAATTTGCTGGTGAGTATATGTGGTGCTTGTTTTTTCCATTCTTGGGATACTTCACTTAGTAGTATGGGTTCCAGCTCTATCCAGGAATATATAAGAGGTGCTATATCACCATTGTTTCTTAGAGCTGAATAGTACTCCATGGTATACATACCACATTTTGTTAATCCACTCATGTATTGATGGTAACTTGAGTTGTTTCTACAGCTTTGCAATTGTGAATTGTGCTGCTATAAACATTCGAGTGTAGGTTGTCTTTATTGTTGATTGTCCTTTGTTCTTTTGGGTAGATGCCCAGTAGTGGGATTGCTGGATCAAATGGTAGATCTACTTGTATCACTTTACGGTATCTCCATATTGTTTTCCACAGAGGTTGAACTAGTTTGCAGTCCCACCAGCAGTGTAGGAGTGTTCCTCTTTCTCTGCATTCACACCAACATTTATTGTTTGGGGACTTTTTGATAAAGACCATTCTTACTGGAGATAAGTGATATCTCACTGTGGTTTTGATTTGCATTTCCCTGATGATTAGAGATGTTGAGCATTTTTTCATATATTTGTTAGCCATTATTCTGTCTTCTTTAGAAAAGTTTCTGTTCATGTCTTTTGCCCACTTTTTGATAGGGTTGTTTGATTTTTTTCTTGCTGATTTTCGTGAGTTCTAAGTAGATCCTAGTTATCAGCCCATTATCAGATGTGTAGGATGTGAAAATTTTCTCCCATTCTGTAGGTTGTCTGTTTGCTCTTATGACTGTTTCTTTGGCTGTGCAGAAGCTTTTTAGTTTGATCAGGTCCCGTTTATTTATTTTTGTTGCTGCTGTGATTGCCTTTGGGGACTTCTTCATAAATACTTTGCCTAGGCCAATGTCTAGGAGAGTGTTTCCAATGTTTTCCTCTAGAATTCTAATAGTTTCATACCTTAGGTTTAAGTCTATTACCCAGCGTGAGTTGATTTTGTGAGAGGTGAAAGGTGTGGATCCTGTTTTAGCCTTCTACAGGTGGCTATCCAGTTTTCCCAGCACCATTTATTGAATAAGGATTCTTTTCTCCAGTGAATGTTTTTGTCTGCTTTGTTGAAGATTAGATAGCTATATGAGGATGGTTTTATATCAGGGGTCTCAGTTCTGTTCCACTGGTCAATATTCCTATTTTTGTGCCAATACCAAACTGGTTTAATTACTACAGCTTTATAGTAAAGTTTGAAGTCTGGCATATTGCTTTTCCATTTGTGCCTGCTTTTAAATCATCAAAGGCAAGTCCATATTTCTGAGTTTCTCAAAAATACCTTACTGGAGTTTCTGTTTCGTTTATGTACTTTAAATCATGTTAGTAATTACTTGAATTTTACATTTCTGAAGGCTTCCTTCCAGAGTGGTTTATATATTTTATATACCTTATGGTACTGTAGATTAAAACTTGTGTCTCCTTTCTGTGTATTATGAGCATTGGGTTTTGTTTTTATTTTTTGCTTTAATCATAAGGATAGGTATTATCTATGTATTATAATATATTAATGCATTAAATAGTAAGTAGTTGGCTGAAAGCTATGAGCATCAACTACAAATGTATATTCTTATGAACTTTTAAAAAATGTTTGATAGAAAAATTCACATGTATATAGAAAACGGTTTTGGGGATGCCTGAATGCCAATCCTCCCAGCACATCCATTAAGTAATTAGGTTAAACGCCATTTTGCAAATGGGGGAATTGAGATGTCTGATTTAGTATGTGTCACAATTAAAATATTTCAATTTGCAGCCTCTGTTCTTTAGGTCCAGTATTCCAGTGCTTGGCATGGGGCTGATTTTACTGTGGGATGGTGATTTTAAAATGGTTCTGAGTACACGGGAGCAGAACTCTGACAGCCAGGTCTACTCCAAGTAATCAATGCTCTGGGTTTCCAGCGGCAACAGTCTTCTCTGCCTAACCATCCCTGGCCCCCTGAACCCCCAATCCAGAATATAAAGACTATTTCACCAGCTACTTGGCAGATCCTCAGCCTACTTGGGAAGTCTGAGCCTGTGGCTTGAAAAGTTGAAAAAAATCTACCTCGATATCTAAAGCAGCTTTAAAGACAGCTCTGACTCCATGCCAGAATTTGAAAAGTTGCTGTTTTGCAGGAAGGCATGACATGTAACATCGTCTCCTTCTGTTGAGATTTCTAACAGAGTTTGGAAAACGACTTATTTTTAATGCCCTTTTCTCCTTGTTTATACCCCCTCTGCCTCAAGGTCACTGTGTTGGAACAGCCATAGGCTATGTATCTGCTAACGTCTCGGTCTGGTGATTTGTAAAACTGCACATCACTCACAGTTCCTGGACACGCTGTGTGAAATAAGAAAACAGAAACCAAAACACAAGCCTCTCTGGGAGATGATGTGATTAGTTTTGAAGTCCCTGTCTCATCCTGCAATCATTTTAGAAAGGGCTATGTCCTTCCACAGGCCCCCTGAGGTTGCCCAAAACCCTGGTTGTCAGAATTAAGTATTTCCATAGACATCTCCTCTTCTCTGACTTTTTGAGCCTGGTAGTTAAGTCACCTCATCTTGTCTAAATGGCATATTCCCCTTGATGGTAACATTAGGCGAATATTTTTGGCCACAGGTATGGGGTTGCTTCTTATTTGGTTTTCATTGGAAACCATTAAGAGGCTATCACCTCTCATTGACAGACTAGTAATAACTGTACATTTCACTCCTCAGATTCTAAACCTTCTAAAAATCTTTCTGTCTTAAGGTAGAATATTTGGAGGGGCTTTGTTGCACTGTGGCTTGGATAAAATATGATGGAAAATGTGTCTTTTTGATTCGAATGTAACATTTCTTCAGTGTTTTATCACTTAGTGGATAATTACTCCTTCAAAGGTATTTCTTGTGCCTTCACGTCTTCATTATTTGGCATATACCAGTTCCTGATTTGTCCAAATCATAAGCCTTGAATGCCTATGATTTGTTCCCTAGAGTCTATGGTAGCCTTCCTTTGAAGAACATGGTGACAGAGTCCAGCTTCATGCTTTGAGTGGGAGAGGTAGGAAGCAGTGGCTCGTGAAGACACCTGTAGTTCTCAAGGGTTGAGGACATGTCTTTTTTTTTTTTCAATTTTTTAAAATTTCAGCATATTATGGGGGTACAAATTTTATCAAAAAGTCCCAACGTGTGTCTTTTTTTTAATTTTATTTTTTAAGGTTGCCTTAAAAGTTTCATGTTGAGCTCTGTGTGCATAGACATCGAGTGTTGCCGATACCCTCTCTGTCTGATGTGGACACGCAGTCAAAGCCACAGAGCAATCATGTACATCTGTCTGACCAATGAAAAAGCCTTGGGGCAAAAACAGCATTTTGGATGTTCCTTCAAGAGGAATACTTATCAGAGCATCAGCCATTGCTGTTGCAGTTAATTGGAAACACTTGTCAAAGTGACAAGAAGAGTGAAGCATGTAGCAGTGCTCACACTAGTTGTGACTATCAAAGGAAGTTGGGGAGAGCAGCAGTGGGTTAGGGACCCAGACCTATAGGTGTTGCTGGCATTATTTAAGTAGCAAGACTGCCTTTTTGTGTTCCTTCATTCTGTAATGACACCCTGTGGCTTACTTTAGAATTTTGATATTTTGGGCTGAAAATTATGATTATTAAATTTGAACAACTGGTAGTTGATACAAGGATAAAGGTTTTAAAATTCTTCATAGCTATTAAGATATTGTTTTGGTGCTGATTCGTGGCATAGCAGGTGGCAGCTGAAGGAAGAGAGAAGGCAGGAGACCAAACCATTGCTGTGGCCATGACACACCCTATTGTCCTTTTTCTCTCCCTCTTTCCTTCTGTTACAGGAACTCCTGTTTGGTTCTACATGCAAATTGCACCAATAAGAAATGAACATGAAAAAGTGGTCTTGTTCCTGTGTACTTTCAAGGATATTACATTGTTCAAACAGCCAATAGAGGATGATTCAACAAAAGGTAATTTTCAGAAGAATTACTATAATTAAGAATTAGGGTGTCACTAACAGACCCTCTTATTATTTTAGCAAATTCCATTGGTTAAACCAGAAAACAGAATTCTACTTTGTGGTGCTTTTTTTGCTTCATGTTCATACTAGTAACTGCCCAGAATCAGCTTTATTCAACCATATCATTTGAACAGAAATAGCATGGCTCTCCAAAGTTGAAATAATGGTTGGTTAATTTAAATTATAATAGAAGGAATTGAGATAAGACATAAGGAAGGAATTTTATAGAGCATTGTTAATTTAGAATCAATATAATCAAAGTTTCAATACTCTGTACCATGGTGAGCTTTAGAACCAAAATAATATAACAACTTATAGAATGGTTTGGAAGTCAGACTAAAGCTCAGTTGATTAGTTGAATTTTGTGGAATTGATTAAAGTTTTATTAGTTGACAGCTTGCTTTTCAGCTTTTATTTATTCAGTTTTATATTCTATTGGGTAGATGTTGTTAGGTTATGTAAAGAATAATTTTGTCATCAAGAGAGTGGCTGGAAAATGCAAACCTCCTGACTAGAGTCTTATTGACTATAATGTTTAGAGAGGCTGCTATAGGAACCAGTAATTAGTGGCATGTGCTTTCACCTCTTTTTCTATGTAATTTATTCCCCATTTATTCTCTCTAATTATGTTTAAATTAGAAATTGGTGTGATATAAATGAAGAATTTCAAATACCCTTAGTTTTTATGAAATGTTATTTTAAATCTCTTAGGAAACTAAAAATGAAATGTCTTCCTTTTTGAACTTGGCAAACATTGCCTTTTCATACTTCTTTTTAAAAAACTGGCATAGAAGCTTTAATCTTTTCAACTGTAATTATAATTATGGAAAAATCACATTAGGTTTATTCTTTGCATATGAATTCATATATATATATATAATACTATATCTGCTCAGTTTATGGTTAACATCAAATTGCAAGAGAAGAAATTTTACAATGTGCAAACCAGTCAAAGTATAATGTAGGGCAATACATTTTTACCTGGAAGATTGAATAAAGTATTCAATTTTGGACCCATACTATCTGTTCCTCTGCTAGACACATGGACACAGTGCCTGGGAAATTTAAAATAGGTATAAATGCTATTTTAAAAAAATAGAATAGTCTTCTAATACTATTTAGATTTAATGCTCATTTGTTTTTAAATTCATAGTGCTCCATTCAACAGCTGAAGAATACATATTCTTTTCAACCTCACATGGAGTGAAGCACTCATAAGATAGACTACATAAAACATACTTTAATAGTTTAAAATAATAGAAATTCTAAAAAGTATATTTTCAGACCACAATGGAATTAAACTAGAAATCACTAACAGAAAGATATTTTGAAAATCCTCAAATAATTAAAAATTAAATAACACTTTCAAAAATAACCCACAGGTCAAAGATGAAGCCTTAAGATAAGTTAGAAAAATATTCCAAACCAAATAAAAATTAAATACAATATATAAAATTTGTGAGAAGCAGCAAAAGCAGTGCTTAGAAGGAAATATGTAACATTAAATGTGTATATTAGAAAAGAAGAAATATAAAATCAATAACCTAAGATTCTACCTTAGGAAACTAGTCAAAAAAGTACAATTTAAAGCAAAGCAAAGCAAAGCAAACTGAAGACAAGAAATAACAAACCTCGGAGCAGAAATCAATGAAATAGAAAATAGGACAACATTAGAGAAAATCATCAAACCCAAGCTGGTTCTTTGAAAAGATTATCCAAGTTAATAATCCTCTACCCAGGCTCACCAAGAACAAAAGGAGAAGATACAAATTACCAATATCAGAAATGAAAGAAAGGCCATCACTACTCATCCTATGGACATTAAAGCATAGTAATGGGCCACTATGAAGAACTCTATAGTAGCCACCATTGATAACTTGGATGAAATGGACCAATTTCTTTAAAGACTCAAACTACCAAACTTCCCAAAGGGGGAATTCGTTACCTTCATTTGCCTTCCTTTTTTTTTTTTATAAAATTAACCAATAATAATCTTTCCAAACCAAGAAAACACCAGGTGCAAATGGTTTCATTGGTAAATTCTACCAAATGTTTAGGGAAGAAATAATACCAGTTCTCCAAGTCTTTTCCAGAAAATAGAAGAAGAGGGAACTCTCCTAACTCATTCTTTGAAGCCAGCACTGCCCTTATACCAAAACCAGAAAAAGCTATAAAAAAGGAAAAATATAGACCAATATTTTTCATGGATATAGATGTAAAACTCCTCAACAAAAATTGAATCCAACAATGTCTGAAAAGAATTACACATGACAACCAAGTGGGATTTATCCCACATATGCAAGGCTGGTTTAGTATTCAAAAACCGATTGCTGTAATCCTCCATATCAAGAAGCTAATGAAGAAAAACCATTATTATATCAGTTGGCATTGAAAAAGAACTTGGTGAAATCCAGCACCCATTCATAATAAAAACTCTCAGCAAAGTAGGAATAGAAGGGAACGTCTTCAGTTTGATAAGGAACATCTATTAAAAAAATACCCCTATAGCTAACAGTGGACTATATCGTAAAGTGGCATTTTGAATAAAAGATAAATGATTTGCCTATGATTTGTAATCTAACATATTCTTGAAATGAATTTTTCTTGCCTCCACACAATGTTGACAATCAGACTGAGTAAAAAGCTTTTCTATCACAGTCTTTTCTTCTCAAAAATTATATATATATATATATATATATAATTTGTATTTGTACATGTAGTAGATGAGTACTGTTTTCTTTCATTTACTTTAAGTGACTTCATGGCACAGCTTAAGTTGGCCAACAAAAGTACAGTACTTTCTCATAGTTTTGACCTGCTGAACCTTAATGGTGGTGTCGGTAACTATGTATCTATTTATGGAAACTGAAAGTTGGCAGCATTTTAAGATGAAGTTGGGGAAAGGGTTCAGATATAAAAGGGCGGACTTTTATTTCTGAGTTAATGTCTCTTCATTCATCTGCATCCCCACATCAGAATCACAGTCCTTTGTAAAGCACAGTCTCATTTAAATGAATAATTCATTTAAACAAAATGATATTTGAATAAGCTCCAGACAACTCAGACCGCTTGAGTTTTGAACTTTGGGTTTGATAGACATGTAAATTAGAATTTATAGGAGAAATCAAACCCCACTCTGAAAAGCATTAGAGAAAAATCTCTCTTTCCAGTGCCAGAATTTGTAGAACTTATTTTAAAAAAGACTTATTTTGAGACTCCCCCACATTTTCCAAATACATAACAGATTACTGAAAAAGTATGCATAATGTAACTATGAATGGTGTATATGAGCTACTTTCTATTATTCATATGAGCTATAAATTTAATATGAAAAATTCAATAGAAATAAAATATTTATGCCATCAAGTCATCATCCTACTATCTCTATGAAGCTAGCAGTATAGGAAAGTATGTTTTAAAACATTGGCACAGGGATATATTTTTCAAGTTTTTAAGTCAAATTAAAGGAACCATGGAACTTTTTTGGGAAATAACAGATGAGATTCCATAGTATCAAAATGATTTGGGTTTAGAGCATTGAACTTGAAGACAGTAGACTAGCTTTTGATTCAGCCTTGGGTGCTAGAGTTACTTAACAGGAGTCTTTTCAGGACTCTCATAGGAATATTTTATTCTTTTCTTACATTTATCTACTTATTTTTCCAACCAAAAATGCCAATTGGTGGTACTATACTAGGTCCTGGAGATACAAAGTCCCTTTTCTCATTTTCCCCTGGGTAGACAGACAAACAAATACATAGTGAAGCTTTCTTGATTGCTCCTATTTTCTCAATAAAACAGGAAACATGGTTATCAATAGAGAGTAAGGTTGATGCAGGATGTGAGGAGGTGTTGAAGGTGAGAGGAGAGTGGAGTAGGTATGAACTGGTTACCTAAGAGTGTGGAATAGTGATTGGACGAGGGAAAGGGCAGCACGAATGTCTGCTTGAGGCCAGTGGTCATGAATCTCACTAGTATCTATGAGCATGAGTCTTTGTTGTCCACCTGTGTTTAGTCAAAGGTGTAGACGCAGAAGTAGGTGAAAGACTGGGTTTATCCAGAGTTAGAATTTTGTCAGTTGAGTAAGATGAGAAGAATCAGGGAATTCAAGTGTCAGGGAGTTGAGGATGATTGCAAGGGAGTAGGTTGAGGGCACCTGCAAAATTTTGGAGAAATACTTAGGTGATAAAAGTTCTGTTAGCATATAGAAAATAGTGTTTTAACATTCAGAACAGACAAGAGAATCTACATAGTGCAAAACCAGAAGGTAATTCTGGAGCAAGGAATTTTTACTTTCTTAACATCAGGAGGTGCCAGTGATTGGAGAAAGGGTTCAACTCTTTGGAGAATTTGCCAAAATTGGCTGGATTTGATACCAATTTCTTTTTCCTTTATAGGTATTTTGGCAAGAAATTTAGACATATGGTTGAAAGACTTGAATAAAGGGACTAATTCTGAAGTTTATTTCTGAATCATATCTGGGATGGTAACTGTTAACATGTGATGTCAGCCAACTAATTTGAGTGCAACTCTTCCTTAGGATGGATCCTGTGATCACCAACATTTTACTCTGAATTGACTTTTTGCTTTTAAACTGAATGACACTGGGTGATGTCAACAATACCTTTGAATTATACCATGGTGGATGGTAGCAAAAACCATTGAAGGGGAGGGAAACCAGTTTTGATGGAGTAGTTAGTATATGCCAAGAACTTTACATTCATTGTTTCTCAATTCTATAATTATGAAAATTAGTATTATTATCTCCATTTTACTGTTGAAGATCCTGATTCTCAATTTCTGATTTCAAATCCCAATTTCTGTCTATTGCACCATGCTGCCTCATCTTTTCTAGTGGGAGCTTATCGTTGGGGTTTAACCACTTTAATCCCTGGCTCTTTTTTCTCCCTACAGAAACTAATCACAGGTTGATAATGCTCTCATTCTGAC